GGATGTGACTGTGGTGTGGCGAGAATCTATGAAAGAATGTCAATGTCATGTGTTGAGAGAATGTAAGAGGGATGTGAATGTGTGGCGAGAATGTAAGAGGGATGTGACTGTGGTGTTGAGCGAATGTAAGAGGGATGTGAATGTGTGGCGAGAATGTAAGAGGGATGTGAATGAGTGGCGAGAATGTAAAAAGGATGTGAATGTGCGGCGAGAATGTAAGAGGGATGTGAATGTGTGGCGAGAATGTAAGAGGGATGTGACTGTGGCGTTGAGAGAATGTAAGAGGGATGTGACTGTGGTGTTGAGAGAATGTAAGAGGTGTGTGAATGTCATCTGGTGATTATTTGTCATGTAACGAATGTGTACAGTTAAGACAATTAAAGCGAAACAAAGCGACTGGAACTGATTGTGCTGTAAATGATTATACCATTCACAGTGCAAATCATTTACCTCCATATACAGAGTTCTTTAACCTTATATTCTCATCTGATAATATCCCAGATAATATCCCAGATACTTGGCTGAATTGTGAAACCTATCTATAAGAATAAAGGCGATAGGCTTGATCCAAACTCATACATACAGTAGAACCAGAAATTATTGAGAATTTAAAGATTGTAATTTAAAAAAAAAAATTCACTCATTACTCACGTATTAAATGTGAATATTAGTAGAACATAACTCCAGATTCAAAGACAGGTGAACAGTTAGTATTTTGTCAAGTCACCATGGGCAGCAATGCAGGCTTCAATGCGGCTCAGCATACTACTGATCACAGAAATTAGAAAGTCGTGGTCCATGCAGTCCCAATATCGGACCACCTCTTCTTTCATTTCAGCAATATTTGTCAGATTTTTCTTATTGACACTTTCCTTCATAAGTCCCCAAACATTTTTTATTGGATTTAGGTCAGGGCTATAGAATGGTCAATCTAATAATGTTATATTTTGGGTCCGAAACCGGGCCTGTGAATGCTTTGAACGATGTTTAGGGTCGTTGTCCTGCTGGAAAATCCAAAAATTTCCATAGAACACGTGAGTAGATGGAAGTAAATGTCCCTCGAGAATATCTGTGTACCGCTCACTGTTCATATTCCCTTTAAATACACAGTGGGGCGTTGCCCCTAACACAGATATGCTACCTCACACGTTAAATTTCGGACTGTACTTTGGGCGCTGATACATAGGTTTTTCAGTTTGTTTGGTCTAGAATTCCAATGTATTAGGAAACAGCCACACAGAACTTTCATCTGAAAAAATCACACTGTCCCAGTTAAAATTTCCATGCTGTAAGCACCAGTTCAACCTTCGCTCCTTTTGTTCAGATTTCATGATCGGTAATGGAATTCCTCGACTTTTCGGCCAACCCATTGCATGCAGCTCAGTTCTAATTGTCTGCTTACAAACAGCCACAGTTCTTCTATCAATCATATCCAGCCTTAAGTTTTCTTAACTCCTTCGTTTGTTTTTAGAAACAAGAATACCAAGCCGCCTCCTGTCACCGACAGTCAATTTTCTGGGCCTACCTGCGCCTCCCTGGTGCTCAATGCTATATCCATTTGCAATATTTTTCAAAACACGATAAACAGTGGACAAAGGGATGCCTGTTCTACTTGAAAGCACTTTAGCTGATCTGATGTCCTTATAATACTCTAAAATCAACTTCCTCTTCTCTAAATCATCCATACTGAGGATCACTGGAAATGTCGTCTGATAGCAAGTAAACAAAGTGGGATAACTCTTCACAAACTAATGAAAAACGATTAACGGAGTTGTCTCCCTTGAATGAAACCAAGCACTTGACAGCTGGTCATGGTAATGTATATTAGAAATCCAATTAAACATATTCCTAAAATTCTCAATAATTTCTGGTCATACTATATAGGCCAATAACATTAGTAACTTGTATTGGCAAGCTATTTACACACATCCTAAATGCTAAACAAACAAGGTTTCTTAAAAACAATATCTTAACTTAAGCTCAAGTTGTTTTAAGAAAGTATTTCTGAACCTCAGATAATTGTTTTGTTCTTCAAATGCTAACTACTAGTTTGATCCTTAGAACAAGAAAACTATATTACGCTTTTGTAGATTTCACAAACGCCTTAGACACAGTCTGGAGAAATGGTTTGTGGACAACATTTCTAAAATCTGGTATCTCTGGAAGATATTTTGAATTTGTTAAACTTATGTGCAGCAATATAAAATCAGTTGTTGAAATTAGCAACGAAAAATCCGATTACTTCTGATGCAATACCGGTGTCCGACAGGGGGAATATTAATCATCCCTTCTGTTTTCAATTTACCTTAATGACCTCGAAAGGTATCTATAAGAAAATGGATGGAAAGACATCAGTGTTGATTCCGCACGTGATCAAGAAGTACTGGTATGGATGAAATTACTTTTACTCTTTTATGCTAATAATACAGTTTTGTCCGCCAGGACACCAACGTGATATACAGAAATCACTTGACGCATTTGAAAACTACGGTTGACTATGGAAATTACAATACAGTATTACTAAGACTAAAGTCTAAGCGAATAAAACTAAACTGTTTTTTAACCAAGGACATGGTAATGTTGAAATAGTTAATACATGTATTTATCTAGGCATAAAACTTCATCGAAATAGAATCAAGGTTACATATGTTAAATCAATTGTTGAAAGCGCAACACAGGCTATGTACAGCTTACTAAGGAGATCATGCAGTATAAATGACCATTTGAGTGTCTCTTATCTGCGTTTGATACGACGATGCTACCAATTTTGACGCGCGGTTCAGAAATCTGGAGATAACAAAACGTAAACCTGATTGAAACTCTACATTTAAAATTTCTGGACTCCGTAAATCTACACCAAATTTTATGATGTATGGTGGACTGGGTAGAACCCCACTTTATATAAATATATTCCAGTGCATGTTATCATTTTGGCATAAACTTACTTACACCTGTACTGAAAACTTAAAACTGTCAAATCGTTTATAACTGTATTTTGACCAAACATCAACAGTGTATACATGGGTATCCCTGGATACGCTTTATTCAAACCATGCTAAACAATATCGGATTAAGTGAAATATTTGCTGATCTCTCCCCTTGTTCTACTCTCTGGCTAGTCCCTAGAGCGGAACAAATGCATTCACAACTGTTACAGTTCTACCAAAAATGGAGAGAAAACATTGAATCTATCTCCGAGAGCAACATTAACATTTTAAAAAATCAATACAATTTGAACAATACTTACTATTACCTATATCTGTCTCTATCCCTATTCTAAGATTCCGCACTTCAAATCATAACTTATCTGGTGGCAGGGCATTGCGAGGGGAGATCATTCATGTAAACTATGCATCCAAAATGTAATGAGAGATGACTTTCATTACATCTTTTGACGTGAAGATCTTCTCTCAACCAGATTATTGTATATTCCAAAACTATATTATTGACTATACTATATTTTGACCCCGAAATGCACAAAAGAACTGAAATGCATGTCTAAATTCATCGATATTTTACAAATCATGATAGGAAATATACTCTTCAAAGAAAGAAACTTGACATGGTGTCTTGGGGTTTACTTAATAAGTGCATATAACAGATTCAAACATGACATCATTGCTCAGTTACAGTAGAATCATCACTTTACAAATTTCCAAAACATGATTAACCAGAAAGTGTTTGGTAAAACCACAGAGGGCTATTAAAGCCACTTGGTCAGAGTAAAATGTCAGTATCTAAGTTGACCACCATGAGCATAGATAACAGCTTGGCAGCGGTGACCCACAGAAGAAAGGAGAAGCCGAATGTCGTCTTGAGGAATGTTCTGATACTCTTGCTGACGTGCTGTGTGCAATTCTTGTAGTGTCTGAGGTGGCGGATTACGCTGGCGCAAGCGTCGATCAAGAGTATCCCATAGATGTTCAATGGGTGACAAATCCGGTGATCGAGAAGGCCAAAGTAACAACTGAACATTGCTGGAGGAAGACCTGTCAAACATGTGCAACGTGAGGTCGAGCATTGACATGCTTCAAAGATCAACCCCGTTGACGTTGATGTTGGAGACGACGTGACGTTGAACTGGTCTTCTGGCAAAAAGTCTGGCTTTCCACAGCCAACTGCGCACTGTCTGGACGGAAATTCGGCGCAGTCTAGGGATTTGGATTATTGTGGATGACGAGGGCGTGGTGTTTGAACGAAACTATTTCAACTGGATGTGGCCATGCTGGGCGGCGGTGGTAACTCTAGTCGACCTGACCTGGGTCTGTCATCAACACCCCAAGTATTTTTGTATCGGGTCCATAGGTTAGAGATGGTCTGACTGGACACGCTGCAGTGCCTTGCCACATCATGCTGCGCAGTTCGTCTTTTTAAAAGGCCGATGGCGTTGTGTCGTTGAGCTTCTGTCAGTCTTTTCATTCTCTTGTTGTCGGCTTAAAGCAATACATGGGGGTAACATTGATGTGAAAATAATGGGATCAAGAATAACGATTATGATAAGAAAATGAATGAGAACTTATGTGCAGGTAATACTACATGTAATGCTTATATCAAACTCCAGTTGTTCTTATTTGTTTGTCTTGACATACCAATTAAGAAACTGACACATCCCTAAGATGCCCAGTTGTTCTGAGTAAGTGAGCTAAAAGTGGCAGCAGAGAAATGGTGATGAAGACTGATACAGAACTTGATTTACTATGGAGACACAGACATGTCGGTTTTACTGAGACCATCAACATTGATTTTGACAAACACGAGCGACGTGATAAGAATCTACCAGTTCAGCACTTTCCTCACGGTATCACGGTGTTGGTGCACTCAGAGTGAGAACTCCATACGCTGCACATCACGAAATCTCTTCTCCACTTAGATTACGTTGCGATTGCTGTCACTTTCCTACAATAGATATTTCAAATATCACGCGAGCTTCGTGCACGTTTCTTCAACAGCTGCATTTGTTCCGGACCTACCAGCATCTGTAGCAAGACATAAGAGCTGAGTTGTCAGTCCCCCTGCACACACGGCGTTTTGTGCTGCTGAGTTGAAGTCAACTGTCATGCACGTCGAGGTCCTGTTTGCCCTGCTCTGCCTTGTGGCCACTGCGTATGCAGGTAACTATTTTCTTAATAACATACACTATCAATATATATCGTAACCACGTAAATTCTCAATGACCATGACATCCACGTTGAGTGTATGACAGTCACTGCCAGACTATTTAATTGAAAAACCTTCCACAAGTATTACTACATTATCAGCCAGCTCTGAAAATGAGCCTTGACAATCAAGGTAGCAAGATTAAAGACAAAATATGGAAAATATGTTTTCCCAAACCTCCTGACCATGGCATTATTAGGAAGTGATCGTCATTGATCTTTCTGCTGAAAAAATTACAATAATGGGAATGTATAGACAGTGTAGGAAAGATGTAGAAAATCTAGCCTGTCCACAGGACTGGCAGGTCAAATTTTTTACCAGTCCTGCCAAAATCTAGCCTGTCCTCCAAATATAAATAAAACACCTTCGGCAGTAAATATTCAAAAAGGTTATAATCATTATATATATGTCATTGGTTCGCTAAAATTGACCCGACATGAGGACGGACTAGATATTTTTTTAACCCGTCCTCCACAAAATTCACCCGTCTCGGACGTTGGGACGGGCTATCTTTCCTACACTGGTATAGAGGATACTAACCGACCTTCAGTGTAATACCATTTTTCTTAAACGAGTTAATGGAAAGCGAGTTTGATACTAAATCTTTCACGAGTTTAATGAAAATGGTATTTCACGGAAGCGAGTTTAGTATTCTGTCTATTACTCTCCAACATAAATTGATAGAGTGAGTGAATGAGTATGATTTTACGCCGCTTTTAGCAATATTCAAGCAATATCACGGTGGGGGATACCAGAAATGGGCTTCACATATTGTGCCCATGTGGGGAATTGAACCCGGGTCTTCAGCGTGACGAGAGAACGCTTTAACCATCAGGATACCCCACTGCCCCATAAACTGATAGAAACTACCTAAGATGTGATGACTCTCAGCTTTCCGGTAGTCAAGCAAGGTCTAATACCACTGTGACAGAGGTATTAGCATTGCGACGTCATAACTGTAAACCATTATAACGTCATACGTCTAGCGGTATTACACTAGTGTAATATCCCGGTAAAAATATTACACTACAGTATCTTCCACGGGCGAGTAATAAAATATGAATCTTGGTCAGAAGTTGCAAGTAGGACATCCTAAATACTATTTGGCATACATCCAAACCTGACGCATTAGGGAACCACATTAGGTCCTATACTATCCCCCGCAATACGTTCCCGGTGTCATTAGGTCTGCTGACCCGTGAAGATCCGGGGTAGAATAGGTCTTCAGCAACCCATTCTTGTCATAAAAGGCGAATATGCTTGTCGTAAAAGGCGGCTAACAGGATCGAGTGGTCAGGCTCATTGACTTGGTTGAACTTGGTTGACACATGTCATCGGTTCCCAATTGCGCTGATCGATGCTCATGCTGTTCATCACTGGATTGTCTGATCCAGACTCGATTATTTACAGACCGCCGACATATAGCTGGAATAAAATTAAACTCACTCACTCACTCACTAGGTCTGCTGATTCAGAGATGATTATGACATAGTCCGAATCGTACAATCTACTGTCAAAGTTCTATTTTTTACACATGGAAAGTGTTTTCTGGCATATGTTTTCATCCATTCGTAAATAAACCCAAAACCTCAAAGGGTTCAATTCTTTGTTATTACATACAAGGAACTTCATGAGAGAAAGCTGTCCTGCATCAGACACAAAACACCAATGTTTCTGTTTCAAAACATGTACTTCTTTGTTATCAGGATGCCCGCTGGGATTTTATCAACACACAAAGTCCTGCTACTGGTTGTCGAACGTGAAAAGTTCGTTTCCTGAAGCAGTTGTAAGTGTTTTTGGCATGGTTTTCTTTTCACATCTAAACATACACTTAAAGGAATTGGAACCTTGAAACACGGCATCGTACTTCAGTGTCAAGTAACTAGCATGACCAAACGTTGAAACATTCTTGCCACCTGTAAATAGCCAGGCTAGAATTGTGATGTAACAGAAGTAGTTGTCACTGCGGAGTTGAACTGCTTCACCTGTTTTCTGTTTGGATAATGGAGTGTACTTTTCAGTCCTACTGTCGATACTTGGAGAGCCACCTTGTGACGATAGAAAACAGAGATGAAGATTCGTTCCTGAAGGGTTATGCTCTCCGTCATGGTACAGGTGAGATTTCATTTTGACATTGTGCCTTCTTTGATGGGCATTTTTGAAGTTGAGTTTATGACGAATAATGACACTTTTTATGGATATACAACTATGCTTTGAAAGGAGACGTTTTGACATAGATTTTAATGTATTTGTCAAGCATACATGGGAAATAAATAGAGAAAATACATACATCAGTTGTTATTAGAATAGATCGGGGATGGCTTGCAGGGCTCCAGATTAAGGGCCATATCGGCGTATGTACGGGTAAAAAATATGCACGAAAACGTAGCAGATACGCACCACAGCAATGGTGTACGGTCTTAGAGAATCATTTACAGACGTATTTATCTGAAAAAAAGTATTGTTTTGATGTTTATTGACCTGTTTACACAAGAGTAGCAATGTTGTGGTACATATGTGAAACGAAACACAAGATTACTGATAGTCCATTAACTTCCATTCAGTACTCTAAATGTACACTTAAGGTTTTCCAACAATCAGTATTGAACAAATAAGGTGTACGTACTCCTGATGTTGAACAATTATCTGGAGCCCTGGTTTGTTTATACAATAAATGAGGTTGATGTACATGGGAGATTGAGAAAGTTGATTGGAAGCCAGTTAGGTGGCATACAAGGATTTAATTAGAACTTATACAAAGGAAGCCAGGTGGATGTTTTGACAATGGATATGGTTGCTTGTATGACATGTTGCGTATAGTGGTATGGAAATAGATGATGTGCACAAGAAATATAATCATGAATTACAGATGATCACTTTATCAAGTGAATGATATTCGTCATGATATATACACTCCCAAAAAAGAAACGCATCATGAAATAGCAAATTTCATGTAGCAATGAAACATCACAACAAAACGCACCATCCGTAAAATACCCGTATGTAACAGCATGATTTTCAATTTCGGCGTGTAGTGTCACAGGATACACAATTCACATGCAATGCACGTGAAAGTTGGGGATCAATCAGAAAGTCTCAATGATGGGTATAAAAGGTTGATCGCTGTCTGTCGATTATTCACTGTATTTGGAATATTGTTGACGAACGCAAAATGCCACGTCTAAGTGAAGCCAACCATCATATCGCCATTGGTTTGCTTGAAGCTGGCCAGTCTCAATGTGCAGGTGCCCGACGCATGAATGTTCACCAACGCACCATTTCACGCCTCTGGGAGAGACTCCCTTCCTCAACCGACACAGGGGCGCAACCCACGGCAAACAAGTTGGTGGACCAAATATATCCCCGGGTCCACACGGGAGGTTGAAGAGCTCTTAGCGTTACCCAGCACCAACCACGAGGAGGTGGCTCTTCACGGGTGCCTCACGAAATTGAAACATTCACACTAATTACAACTGTTTAATACACTTAATTAATTTATTTAATTAAACAAGAAACAGAAAAAAACTGTCGAATTTTATCAGTGTAATGTTTTCGATGTTGCTGAGCATACCACTGCCAAAGGTTTAATAATGATTTAAACCACCTATTTCTTCGTATTGATATTGGATTACATTAGCTGTTGCCTTTTGCAGCTCCAGGGTACTGGCTTGGTGCCACTGACCTGAACATAGAGGGGAGATGGCTGTGGGAAGGTCAACGTCGCATGTCTTTCACAAACTGGTCCTGGAGAAGTCCTGGTAATTCGCGTGGTCAAGAACACTGTCTGGAACTGGTGAAACCGAAGGAAAATATGTTTGGAATGATTACCAATGTGACATTCCATTACATTTTATTTGTGAAAAGGAACTAAAATGATTGTTCACACACCAACAGATTGCATGTAATGCTGCTCTATTCGGTGAAGTAAAGTGCTTAGCACATTTGCCTTGTGATGTTGTTTTTCTTTGATGAGTTCCGTTTGAATTCACGCATCTGTGCATCTAAATCCTAGTTGGTGTTTGGCAGGTGAGTGAATATGTCCTTCGTCGCCTACCACAGCAATATCCGTTAACTAGGCTTCCCTCCTTTAACCTATGTAGGGTATCGAATCTTTGTTTTTCGTGTGTTGTGTTTTTCATTTGGTTTGTTCTTTCAGACGTTTTCAGAAGTTCGTGTACCTAAAACGTATCTGTTTATTGACGAAACAGGGTCAAACTTGTTACACAACAATTACAGGTGATTGGAATCCAGAGAACATTATTTCATTGTATTCAATTGCAAAGTTAAGTAAACCCACTCGTAGTTTGTAGAAGCTGATATTTGATATCAAACCTAACCCTTTGAAGCAAATCTAAAACTCGCAACATTACAATATGTCTTGGCTTTTCGCTTTTATGTATTTTCTGAGCTTCACGATTAGGATCATGCTAAAACAGTATGTAGTTAGTCAGCTCCTGTGACTTATACTATGATATTCCTTAACTTGGTCTACATTGGGAAACTTGAGAGACGAGATCATTGTCGTCTCCCATTATACAAGAAACTCCCCCCCGTGAGGATACAGTCTATGAGTTAATCACCTCCTCATTGGTTTGATGACGAGGCCTCGTCTCGAGAGCAGAATGTCAGTGGTTTGACTCCCAGCTAAAATATGTGTAAAATCCGTGTTCGTTGTTTCACAGCCTGAAGCGTGGCATAAAGAAAGATGACATGAACAGTATACAGTGTCAAGGTCTGGAATAACCGACATTACATCACACTTTTACATGTACCCTCACACACATACACATATATGTACTTGTCTTCATATGTGCACGAATTTTAACACTGCATCAGATACCACTTTACATCACACTGAATACTTTTTGTATTGAGTAATGAAATCCATTAAATAGTCCTTAGTTTTGTAAAGACGTGTGCCTTCTGCGGTAAGTTTTCCAGGGATTATGACAAGCACATAAAAATAATGATAAGTTCTGATTAATTTCGTATGAAGCCAATTGTAAATGCAAAACCATCTAGGCGTTGACCTGCGTCAGGCAAATCGATTATTTCATTGATGCGTAATTTTGGTGTCATCACTGAGAATCAGGGGTCATTATCACCGCTCCTTTGCAACTTTTACCAGCGTTGAACAGGAAGTTCTGAATCGTTTCGTGTGAAGCCAATTGTTACTGCAAAACCATCATGTTGGAATTGAAAATGTATTAGTCCAACCAGTTTGTGTCTAGTTATGTCAAGCATATCTTTAATTCATACCCTTAAAACGTACGCATGGTGTTATCCGTGATTTTCAGTGGTCATTTTCACCGCAATTTGCCTCTTATACCAGATGGAATCTATTTAGCAAATGACTGAGACTCTTTCATTTTGTGGCGATGACGTTTGTATCATTCAAACATATAATAATCGTGATTATGAAATATTTTTTAATATTAATATTGCTTGGGATGTTGAAACATAAATGTTTGGAAAGTTACTGTTGAACATGACATGTCATCGCTAAAGAATAACCAGTTTCGACTTTTCACACAAACAAATTCCTTTCGTTGTAAAGAGAACAATAGCTGTGAAAAAATGAATCAGTGAGAATCAGTGATGTCACCAGGTATTTGGGGAAAAGGGTAGCATGTCCTGCTCTACCTGTACGTGTTCATATCAGCCATGTTGGTTGTCAAGTGAAACTATTGCGGCAGTTTTGTAAATGTGCGCATTGAAGCGGTCATAAAATCAGTCGCATTTTAAACCAAAATGATTGTGTCTATTTTCTCTAATTGTCCAGCCAAATTCGAGTATTTCTCACATTCATGGCAGAATCGGGATAGATTAGGGGTTACACATGGAAACATATGCTCTTCATTGAAGAACGCTGATGCAGAACCTGCACGAGTCGACTGGAAAAGAGTTCCTGACTCTACCAGCTACAAAAGTTATCAACTGGTGTCACCCGTGAAGATCGGGTTAGAATTCAGCAACCTGTGCGTGTTGTAAGAGGTGACTAGGGGGATCAGGTGGTGAGGCTCACTGACTTGGTTGACACATGTCATCGTATACCGGTTGGGTAGATGTTATTCACTGGATTGTGTTTCCTAGATTCGATTAGAAACAGGCCTCCGCCAAATGGCTTGAATATTGTTCAGTGCGGCTTAACACTAAACTCACTCACTCACTCACTTCTGCTTCATCGATCATCTGATTGATGAATTAGTGTCTTGGATGCTGTAGCTTGGGGTGCGGCGTCAGGAAATGTATACGTATACTATGCAACGTGTATGAACAGCGGGCGTTGCCTCTAGGGTAGGATATGCTTTCCCCTTTACGAACAGCCACCCGTAAAGATCCGGGCTGGAATTTATCTTCAGTAACATGCAGCGGGAATATTGCCGAGCGTGGTGTTAAACAGCAAGCAAACCAAACCAAACCAAATTTAGGTTTTGTATGGTAAGCTGAGCAACGTGATTGGTCGCACATTTTTGGTCGCGGTGTGCAACCAAAGGATCCTCCTGTACAGAACCTGACCCAAATGGAAGCTGCTTTACACGAGGGACGGCGTAGACTGCCCCTTCAGAGGATCAGGAGGCTGGGTGTATCAGGAGGAGTGTGCTGGCTGTCATACAGCCACATGGAGGTTAACTCGGTTTTGACCTTTAATCGTGTAAGACATTCAAAATGACATTTTTAAAGTTCACATTCACCAATAAATTCAACATAAAACATTGCACGGCCATACTTGCATAGACAGTTTTGGATGAAAATCGGTGGGTTTTTTTTAAATGTGCAATTATCATCATAAAATCAACATTGATTCCACTCATTTTGTCGATTTTTATGAGTCAAAGTATCACGCGGGTCATAAAAAGTCATCTATTTCCATCGTGGTCACCACGAGAAGTTATGTACGTGTTGGAAGCCTATCATTGCAAAAACAGTGTGTGCTTAATTAAGTCCTTTGTGTATATTTTCAATGAGGGGACTATTACCAGACGAAGTAAAATATTGATCTGTGATATGGCTATGTATACAGCGTTTATGCTATTGGCAGTGAAGTGATGTGCCTAATAGCCCACTAAGGAAGTTAACACATTTCCGACAGGCTTTGATTTTACAAACGGAAGTGAAAATGTGTTCCAATCAATGTGTCGATCTGATAATCGGGCCATAACAGAACCTGCCGTCCTTGCTAATAGTGACGATCCGGGTTGGACTTGGTCTTCAGCAGCCCGTGCTTGTGGTAAGAGGCTCGCCGACTTGTTTGACACATGTCACCGTATCCTTAGTGCATAGAGCGATGCTCATGCTGTTGATCACTGGATTGTCTGGTCATGACTCTATTATTTACAGACCACCGCCACATAGCTGGGATACTGCTGGGCGCGGCGTTGAGCAGCAACCAATCAGCCAGCCCTGCTCGATGAGGAGAACACTTTCATCAGGGCCTGTATTATCGAAGCTCTCTTAACGATAAGAAAGTCGTAAGTGCCCTACATTAACATTAACTTACAACTACCTCAGCGCTAAGAGAGCTTCGAAAATCTAGGCCCTGACCCTCTCACACAATATCTATTCACACTTGGAAGATTTTTCATATACATGCATTCGGATTCTACTTTACGTCCTTCACCCTTTATACAAACGATTATTTGACATTTGGGTATTTATAATAGAGTTTGCTGACGTTGCAGTTTTTTGCAGCCTTATTAGAGATTCAGAAATTAAATACAGAACAGAAATTATCAGTTTCCCTACATGGTGCCAAGAAATACTAAAGGTCTAAAATGATTCCAAAACAAAGAAAACGGATGATTTAAAGAAACGGAAATCATCAATAAGGGGTGTACACATTCAGAATGAATATGGCGATTTCTTCTGAAGTTGTTGAAAAGTATATATAGTTTGGTGCCATTCATAATTCAAATCTCACTTTTAATAGAAATGTCCAGTTTTTAAGAAATGTCCGCAGCAACTGTATCCCCTTCACCGTTTGAGGTCTTTGAAAATTTCCAAAACTTTGTTTTCTTTTGCAAACCACAAAAACTATTCACAGCATTTTTAACTTTAACTTTCTAACCTGGTATGGATGGCTATTTGTTCAAAATATCACCAAAATATGCAAAATCAGTTTATAACGCTCATAAAATCGTAGATTATTTACCTGACATTAGCAGTTTTTGCGAGCAGACAAATGAGGACAACATTCAATGGCAAGATAATGTACTGTCAGAGGGAATTAATGTTTAGTTGATAGCTGAAGTTGAACTTCCAACTTCATCTGAGGCTCGTAAGTGAGGACAAACAGCTCAGTTTGACCTCTAACTTTGATATTAGGAACGTATGAAAAAGCATCGACTTTTCTCTTGGATTGCGCAGACAATCGACAAAGGAGCAAACGGCTTGACAGCTTGGACAAGCGTGAACAAGACAGCGCAGATTGACTACAGACTTTGATATCCGAGTCAGTATAAAGGGACTCCAACTGCTCTGTATGGAGAGTATTAAATGCAACGTAAAATGGGGTTTAACAATAACAATGATGGGCGAGTGATTGAGTCAGTTAATATTTAACGTCACATCGGCAATATCGCAGCCATACCGTGACGAAAACAATTTACACAATAAAAAGTGAAAACATTTTGAAGATTAAAACCTGTCGACTATGGACAGTGAAAAGACTAGAGAATCACAGATATAAATATAAAACTAGCGAGCAAATTTAAAATATTCCAATCAAGGAAGACAATACAATATAACATACGGGCTATAGATCGCCAACAACTGAAGGTAGATCACCATACTAGGGCCCATGGGGACTTACATTACTTTTGCTACCTGCATGGACCCTAGCTGGATTTACACCGTCCCTTCAGCCATTGGCGTTTATGCTGAGATTTAGCCATACATTAAAAACACAAAAATACTACGATTAAAAACCTGGTACACTTAAATTGACTTCAAATGTTTTGGAACTCACGTACCTAATAATGATGAGGCTACTTATACCGCGCAATACTCCACACCACAAAGGGGCATGCTCAAAGCCCTCACAAACAGTACAATAACCCAAGCTGCCTGTGACTCACTAGAAGGTTAATAGTCACATGGCTTATCCCACCGGGTACCCATTTTCTCCTGGGTGAACGGAGGCAGTTTGAACAAACTCACTTGCCTAAGGTGAGACCACATGTGTCACATGTGTTTCGTTGTGGGGCGGGACTGAAGTCTTAGAAACTCTCAGGAGTCAAGCTGCCAAACCCTGTCACCCTTTCAATGACTCCACGTTGGTTAACTTCAACTGATTTGTGACCTGATCTCTATCCACAGGACCACACACCACCACAAGAAGTGTTAAAATTATTTGAACTTATGAAGTGACGTGCTTGCACGTGTGTAGATGATTCTTCTAGTGAAAGGCCTTGGATGCACGTTCATGTGTATGAATTTGTATCTGCTTATACTTATGAAGCTACGACTATGCACGTGAATGTGTATCGGTGTGTGGATGCTTCTACTAATGAAATGACGTGTATGCACGTGCATGTGTATGGATGTGTATCTGCTTCTACAAATGAAACGACGTGTATGCACGTGTATGTATATCGGTGTGTGGCGGCTTGTACAAGGTAGGTCTTGTGCTGGTTATATGATGTTTGCGTACTGAGTTGCAAACCGAAACATGAGTCTCATTAACCAATTCAGACTATGAACTATATTTCAGCCGATCCGAATTTCCTCGTGTGAAAGTGAAAAGAGACACTACAAACAACTATGGTTACACTGAATTCCAATCCCTGGTTTCATAAGAAAATGGTATTTGCAAATTCATTTTGAAAACTTTTTAAAGTTTGAAGAAAAGATCGTATTTCTATATTTTATATATAGGTTTAGGCAGAGGTGAGGTGAGGTGAAATTGGGTTTTACGTCGTGCTTGAGAATATTTCGCTCATATGACGACGTGCATGCGTGTGTATGTGTAGGTGCGGCTGCTTGTACTAACCAAGACTGAAGCTGGTTTTATAGTGCTAGCCCACTGAGATACCATGCTGCAGTGAAGCATAAATACCCCACTCAGACACATTATACTGACTCCGAGCCGACCAGTCCTTGTTGTACCCATTAATGCCGAGAATCAGGCAGGGACCAACAAGTACCATATTTGAATGTCTTTTGGTATGACTCGGGATCGAACCCGCGACCTTCCACTCTCCGGGCGGACGCTCTAACCACTACACCACGGAGGCGGTCAGGTTTAGGCAGAATGTCGTCAACTAAGACGTCACAGACCCTCCCTGTTTGAAGAGGTCGTACAATGATCCACAATTATTCTGGCTCACTGGTTACACCTGTTGTGTGTTCTTTGCGTGTAATTAAGTGTATTTTTGTAACGTACAATGTGATTGATATAATGTCAAGCCCGTACCAGACCCCCAAGCTTTTCTAGTGGCCGAGCCTCGTTTTGAGATTTCCACGATTTCCGGATTTCCGTTTGTCAGAGCACGACAGAGCACGCTGCACGACGTGTTTGCAAGGATTTGAAGGAGCGTGTTGCAATATACCAGTGATAAGGTGTATCAAATCATTATAATTACATGTAATTATATATTCAGTGGAATGAGTTGGTCTCAAGATTCTGGACTAGTTATTGTATTAAGTTGCGCGGGACCCAGTCAGCAGGAAACGAGAGTGTTGTGTTATAAGTTTTGACTTGTAAGGTTCTGAGTACAATGTTGCGGTTGTAACAGTGATGTCAGACTATGCCATTGTATACTGCCACAGAGCCGATATTTTTTATTATTATTTAGGAGATAAACCTAATGTGTTTGAAAATCAGAGACATGCTTTACTGAATTGATGGCGACTAAATATTTCAATTGAAACCTCACGCTACGCGTTCGGTTCCAATTGAAATATACATACTTTACTGAATTGATGGCGACTAAATTTCAATTGGAACCGAACGCGTAGCGTGAGGTTTCAATTGAAATATTTAGTCGCCATCAATTCAGTAAAGCATGTGTCTGATTTTCAAACACACTAGGGTTATCTCCATTCTACCATGACCCATTTAAAATCGAACTTACTCGCTCTGCTGAAGACACTGCGTAATCCGGCATGGGACGAGAGTCGAATTTAACTCGTCTGTGTAGGGAGCGATAGGTTCCGTTCGTCTTTTTTTTGCAAAGTTAATTTTAGGATTATACGTTGTTACGGAGCCCCAGGTTATTCAGGAGTCGTCTGGTATGCCTCAGTGTATGATAGGAGAACCGGAATAATCCCGACTGGCTCAAAATGGGCTGTGTTTAGGTGATATTCAGACCAGACATCAGGAAAATATCAGTGTCGGAGCCCCAGTTTATTCAGGAGTCGTAGGTATGCCTAAGTGTATGAAAGGAGATCCGGAATAGTACCGACTGGCTCAAAATGGGCTGTGTTTAAAAAGTATTCAGACCAGACATCAGGTAAAGTCAATGTCGGAGCCCCAGTTTATTAAGGAGTCGTCCCAACATAAAAATATTCTGTCCAAAGAAATCAAACTACTGTTTATTCAATGCAATTATGTAATATCCGAGATCTTGTTTTTTTCATCCCAACTCCACACGACTAAAACCAGCCTATTGTTTTGTGTGCCGTGAAACTGTACCCCCCTGGCCACACTATAATGGAATCGTCTGACCTACTTTTTTTCTTCGAAGTAGACAGTTACGCAACAGTTTCAAATGGCGGACGAGCCAGTGTTTACATTTTTACAAGGTTGAAATTTGAAGTGACAGTGGACAATACTTGACTGACTGTCGAATCTGAACCCTGCAGAATCGAAAAATAGATCCTTTCCTGATCAACCTACGACCTGTAACTCATCAAAGACTGTTGATTTTTATGACCGGCCGATCATGATTTCACGTACTGCCTCTACCCCGGCATGCGACAAAAGAGTGACAGTGCTGCTGCTTAGTGTACATGCGACTAACTTGTGATTCCTTGGAACTTTGTTTTCATCGTTTGGGACTGGACTGTGTCCAAGCGTTTTTCAAAGTATATGAACATAACAGTGACAACCTTGCGGGGATGGTGACAGAGAGCAGAATTATTTTGTGAACGATGCAACGGGATATGATGGAGTATGAGTGGCATAAATGTGGTGTTTCGCCACACCGTTATCTTGCGAATTTCACATTCTAAACGGAAACAAATGTACCATTTACTAGGTAGGTAAATGTTTACTAATGTTTTGATGCATATTTTGTATAGATAGGGATGTATTTTTACAAGGCTTTCTGATTTATATGTTAGATATTGTTTCGTTTATGTTTAGGGCTGTGTATTGTAATTGAGTTTGAATATTTTTATAATGGAAGGTAATATGATAGTGAGGTTCCCTATAATTGTGGGGGAAAAATCATATAATTGTATTTTTAGAGTTTAAATAAATGTTTTATCAGCATTTCCATCACGTCTGTTGTGTTGATATTAGTCATGTTGGTGGTCAAGCTGAAGTAGTGCGGCAGTGTTCTATACGTGCACAGTGAAGCGCATGAAATCAAACGCATATTTAATCCAAAATTTCCATTTGCTTATGTGGAAAATTCGAAAGTTAGCGTCAAAATCCATGGAGTTTTTGTTACGATCCGCCATCATTGTGGTCAAACGGAAGTAGTTCCCACAATAAGATTTGTCAATGCGCGGTGAAGCGGCCTTACAATCAGATGAGCGTCAATCCACAATTGATGCCGTCTGATTTTTCTGAACAACCAATCAGAATCTAGTATTTTCTTGATTCATGTTAGAATTCACTTTATACCGAGTTTCAGGTTGGGATACAACAAATTCATAGAAAACACTGCACGACGTCCCGTGTAATATGCCAGTCACTAGTTTCATAAACATGCCATTATACTGGACATTATAAAGTATTTTATTTATTACACAACATTAGGAAAATACTATCTCAGAATTCAGCTTTCAGAACGAGTGAATTACGCCGTCATAACAGGGTCAGGCGTATGAATACGTTTCATTCATGATTGTCAACATTAGTTTTGTTTAATTTGTTTTTTTAAAAGTAAACAAGGGGTATAAAAACGAACCAAATGCCTTCAACTAACATATTATATATTTTTATAAATATTATTACACGCAACCGAACAAGGAGCAGATGAAACGCCTTTCCTAATGTCATAACACTGTAGATTTATTAAACAGTGATATCTTCATCGGGTGAGTAATAACGTCTTTTAGGTGAGGTGAGGTGAAATTGGGTTTTACGTCGTGCTTGAGAATATTTCGCTCATATGACGACGTGCATGCGTGTGTATGTGTATGTGCGGCTGCTTGTACTAGCCCAGACTGAAGCTGGTTTTATCGTGCTAGCCCACTGAGATACCATGCCGCAGTGAAGCATGACTACCCCACTCAGACACAATATACTGACTCCGAGCTGACCAGTCCTTGTTGTACCCATTAATGCCGAGCGCCAGGCAGGGACCAACAAGTACCATATTTTAATGTCTTTTAGTATGACGCGGTCGGGGATCGAACCCGCGACCTTCCGCTCTCCGGGCCGACGCTCTAACCGCTACACCACGGAGGCGGTCGCAATAACGTCTTTTAGCATATGTTGGCATGACAAAACCGTGAATAGAACCACTGACCACATGTTGCTAACTGCGGCGTAAAACAACACTTGCTCACTCGTTAACTAACAAATATGGTTTAGCTACAACAGTAAATAAAAAGGAAAAAGACACAAGACAACACCAAAAGAATAATAGGCTAAGCATTTACTTCACTTAATACTGAAGCATTCAAGGCGATCTGTTGGAGTGTGATTTGTGGTCAAGAAACATTTATAGTTTCTTTTCACAAATAAAATTTAAATTATGCGAACATATCCAATCATTCCAGAGATAGTGAGAGAAATGCTTTCTAATTTCCAGACAGTGCTCTCGGTGTCCCGCATTATCAGGTTGTCTATGATACCAGTTTGTGAAGCTGAAGCGACGTTGTCCTTCCCACATCCATTTCCCCTCTATGTTGAGATCAGTACCACCAAGCCAGTAATGGTGAGCTGCAAACAGGGGTCAGAAAATCAGTATATAGATACCAATACAGCAGTCTATAGATACCAATACATCAGTATATAGATACCAATACATCAGTATATAGATACCAATACATCAGTATATAGATACCAATACATCAGTATATAGATACAAATACATCAGTTAGATAAACCAGCATCAATCACACATAACGTCACTAGTAGCAAACAACTGTCTAATACCGAAGTAAAACTAAACTAAACTAAACTCACACACTCACACTTATACCGAAGAGGTGTGTGTTTTGTAGGTACAACCTAGTAGAGACCCGTAAAGATCTGGGACTCCTTTCACGAAGCAACCTTTGCTAAGGTTAACCTTAACTCACATTCTTTAACATTGCACTAAGGTTACCTTAGTGACTTACGATCACCTCAGTGCTTTGTGAAAGGAGGCCCTGGGTTATAATTGGTCTCCAGCAACCCATGCCTATCGCAAGAGGGGACTATCAGGGCCAGGTTGTCAGGCTGGCTGACTTGATTGACATATATCATCGTATCCAATTGCGTCGGTCGATGTTCACCTAACAAACAGGGACAAGTGGAGGAATATCAGTGTATGGATGCGACGAAATAGGTTGTATAAATCGTTATGTAATATTTGCCAGCAGTGTAAATCAAATACTTACGTACTTGTTTTCGCTTGGTGCAAATTTCGCGGAAGTAACAGTTTAGACTACTTCGCGCGGTCAATTATTCGCGCAATCAGTAATTGCCGGAATTGCCAGTTGTCTCTTAAGCCGCCACTAATAGCAATGAAAGCAAACCAGAGTGGCTTAACCTGGACTTTCAGATCCAAATGATTGCAAAGATGACACTGAGGCCGAAGTCGTTATCGCGAATAAATAAAATACCCTTATTTTACCCCATTCCATGTGCGTACAACTTACCACGTTCATGAGGGTCCGTATAACGTTAACGTTAGTGTTGATAATATATATTTTACATTTATAGAGCAAAAATTGTAATTAAAATTACACAATGCTAGGTTATATTTCTTTGGGTTAAATAATAGTATTCTGTATTATATTTTACTGACGACTGCGTCTGAATTCATCCCGTTGTATTATTGTGCATGTTTGAACTTGTTCGCTGGGAAACGTGTGCACAGCTGATTGCTATTTCCGACTCAAATACACACGGTAACTTAATCTTAATTAATTTATAGAGCAAAAACTGTAATTAAAATTACACAATGCTAGTATATATTTCGTTGGGTTAAATAATAGTATTCTGTATTATATTTTACTGATGACTGCGTCAGCTGATTGCTATTTCCGGCTCAAATTCACACGTTAATCAAGTCCCCATGGGCCTTAGTATGGTGATCTACCTTCGGTTGTTGTCGATCTATAGCCTGTATTTTATATTGTATTGTCTTCTTTAATTGGAATATTTGAACTTTGCGCTAGTTTTATATTTATAACTGTGATTCTCTAGTCTTTTTACTGTCCATCGTCGACAGGTTTTAATCTTCAAAATGTTCCTACTTTTTATTGTATGGCTTGTTTTCGCTGCAATATTGCCGATGTGACGTTAAATATTAACTCACTCACTCACACGGTAATCTTAATCCCTGTAAATAATACAATGCAAATAATAGAATGAGAGGTTTATTCGCTTTGTATATATTTTCGCGGTAAAATATTATGCGCGAAAAGCGCGAAAACAAAACCTGCGCGATAAATAATGCGTTTACAGTGTGACCTGTTTACGATCACTGTTTAATACCGATAAGTAGTGTTTAGTAGGTACGATCCAGTATAATTATCCACAGTACCTGGTAACCATAGAAACTGCTATCACTTATCGAAATGTGTTTATGGTTAAGATTCTTTATAGAGGAATATATGTTATTTAATTATCCATGATATACATGATGAGTTTATGCTCATTGCAGATCTCACTGTTTGTGAGGGCTTTGAGCATGCCCCTTTGTGATGTGGAGTATTGCGCGGTATAAGTAGCCTCATCATTGTTAGGTACGTAAGTCCCTAAACATTTGAAGTCAATTTAAGTGTACCAGGTTTTTAATCGTAGTATTTTTGTGTTTTTAATGTATGGCTAAATCTAAGCATAAACGCCAATGGCTGAAAGGATGGTGTAAATCCAGCTAGGGTCCATGCAGGTAGCAAAAGTAATGTAAATCCCCATGGACCCTGGTATGGTGATCTACCTTCAGTTGTTGGCGATCTATAACCCGTATTTTATATTGTAATGTCTTCCTTGATTGGAATATTTCAACTTTTATATCTATATCTGTGATTCTCTAGTCTTTTTACAGTCCATCGTCGACAGGTTTCAATCTTCAAAATGTTTTCACTTTTTATTGTGTAAATTGTTTTCGTCACAGTATGGCTGCGAAATTGCCGATGTGACGTTAAATATTCACTCACTCACTCACTCACTCACTCACTCACTCACTCACTCACTCACTCACTCACTCACTTTTTATTGTTAAAGGGGCGGTGGGGTGGCCCAGTGGCTAAAGCGTTGGCTCGTCACGCCGAAGACCCGGGTTCGAATCCCCACATGGGTACTATTTGTGGTGTCCCCCGCCGTGATGTTGCTGGAATATTGCTAAAAGCGGCGTAAAACCAAATTCAGTCAGTAAGTCAGTCATTTATGATCCATCGTGAATAGACAGTCATCTGTAAAAAGTAGGGCAGCGTAATATAACCGGTTTACCGGTATTTACCGGTTCAGAAATGAAAACGATACGTATTGCGATACGCTGATCGAAAACCGGTATTTTGACTTGCATTAGGACAACTTCGTAACACTCGGAAATCTTCGGATATGTCCTTGTTTCATTTGTGCCAAATATTATTCACATTTTTACTTTATCATGACTAAAAGTTGTTGTTAAATCTTAATCAAGCCTAGTGATTTTGTTGTGGTTTTGGGTCGCCGAGGTGGGCGTCGAAGCTTAGGGCGCGAGCCTGAGTGGAGCCGCCTCGGGTGCAGATCTTGGTGGTAGTAGCAACTCGATTATTAAATCGAGTAGTTTTTTGTTTAAAAATACTTCATGCAATATATTGCAATACATATCGCAATATATGCTTTCGCATCGCAATATATCGCAATATGAAAATTCTCTGCAATACCCACCCCTGGTAAAAAGTATTCCCTACTTAAAGAAAGAATATTGATATCAATTATGATAAATATACGGCTAGTGTCTTCTCTGACAACTTATGTTTTCATTACTGAAGTAAGTGTAATACGAAATCAGTGGCATCATTCCACGCATCACTGAAATATTGCTACACAAGCCCGAGAGTCTCATTAAACATCTCTTAGGTTTAACCCAGTCTGCTACGTCGGTGAGAAGTATGAGGAGTATGAGGAGTATGAGGTAAAGGTGCAGGCATGGGAGGAGATCAAGGTGTAATTGAAGCAAAATGTCACATTAGAATCTCACCTTTACCATGACGGCGAGCATGTCCCCTGACAAACAAATCTTCATCTCTGCTTTCTATTGTCGCAAGGTGGCCCTCCAAGTATTGACAGTAGGCCTGAAAAGTACACTAAAGTATTCAAACAGAAAGTATGTCCCTCCTATGTGACAGGACCCGTGAAGGTCCGGGTTAGAATATTGAGCTTCAGTAACCCATGCTTGAGGTAAGAGGCGACTAACGGAATTGGGTGGTCAGGCTTGCTGACTGGGTTGATACATGTCATCGGTTCCCAATTGCGCAGCTCGATGCTCATGCTGTTGATCACTGGATTGTCTGGTCCAGGCTCAAGTATTTACAGACCGCCGCCATATAGCTGGGATACTGCTGGGCGCGGCGTTGAGCAGCAACCAATCAGCCAGCCCTGCTCGATGAGGAGAACACTTTCATCAGGGCCTGTATTATCGAAGCTCGCGTAAAACTAAATTCACTCACTCACTCCTATGTGACAGCTACCATCAGTCCATCTCATTTTAGTACATAAATGTGGAAGTCTGAATGTGTTCAAGTCTAGAGGGGTGATATTAGCACATATTTTTACCAGTGACAGAAAAGCGATGTGTAGTCAGCAATGAAATACCATTTTGAGGAAATAACTTTCCTTTTTCTACAATGTCAACATCTACTTTTCGTATTTAGTTGGAACAGTTTAGATTTTGTGTTTTAATTGTTTTGGATAATTCATTTCGCAATATACAACTGCAGTGTCTACTGTAAGTGAAGTAAAATAAATAGGATGTATCATTTGAGGTGGGATGTATCTGCTGCTGGTTCACGCCATTCTTTGTTTGTTGTTGAACGCCACACTCAGCAATATTCCAGCAATATGGCGGCGATCTGTAAATAACAGAGTCTGGACCAGACAATCCAGTGATCAACAGCATGAGCATCGATCTACACAATTGGGATACGATGACATACAACCAAGTCAGCGAGCCTTACCACCCGATCCCGTAAGTCGCCTCTTACGACAAGCATTGGCTGCTGAAGATCAATTCTAACCCGGATCTTCACAGGTGGTCAGAATATTTCAACCTTTATTGTATCATTCCAATTATTTTAGGTGATTTGATTATTTGAAGCACAATGGGATACAGTTTTTAAGGTCACAATTGCTTTAAGTGTCTGTTAAGTAGATAAAATTACACACGTGCCAATGAAACTTACATGTGCCTCTGCAAACGAACCTTTCACGACTGAGAACCAGTAGCAGGACCTCTTGTGATGAACAAATCCTAACGGACATCCTGCTGAAACACAATTTTACAATTCAGTAATTGGCTTCACTTCTTGATTTGAAAGGGACACAAGTTTTTGAAACCGAAGTTTAAATCAAATTAATACACGAAAGAACCATTTCCGTTTCACAAACATCACTTTTGTTTGGAGTATTCAGTCCATTAAAGTACAGCCTTAACTCGGAATGTTCCATAAATGTAATACAAACTAACGGGAAAAAAGTAACTGTGCATCACATAAAATTGCATGAGATAAAGTTATTTGAAAAGTAATGAAAAATAACCCTCAATAAACACGTAGCAAAGCCCTTTGCATGAAATTTGATGTCACGTATCGCGTGATACAAATATGGCAAAACAGTTTCTTTATTCGAACAAACTTTGATTGCACGCAGTTGAACACATCCGCATATATCACGAGCATATTATGTTTCAAATAGTGGGGGCACCAGGTGTTCGTAAAAAGGTGAGCATATCCTGCTCCAACGGTGGTACCCGCCCCAACCCATGTAAAATTAAACCAATTTGATCAGCTGAAGAAGAGTAAGTTAGTTACTGAGTTGGGTTTGACGCCGCCGTTAGCAATATTGCAGCAATATCACGGCGGGGAACGCGAGAAATAGGCTTCACACATGGTAACCAACGAGTGAACGCCTTAACCACTGGGCACCACACCGACCCAGTTGAAGAAAAGGAAGACAAACAGTTCACAAGCACATGCATGACCTTCAGAGAAACCATGTAATGGCAATGACAGGTGCACATCACAATATTACAAAAATATAGTCAGTGGTGTATCTGAACAGAAAGGCGTATTTAAAGTGACTCACCAGCTTGTGTGAGTATGGCGAGACTTAGCTGTGCATTTGGTATAGGCCACTCAAGAAGTCGGACATCTGTTTTCACAATGCTTCATGGAGTAGATAAGAAGCATAAATGTCTAATCTGTATCCAAGTGCGAACCATGTCTATTCTTCATGTCATGGAGTCAAGTATACAAGGAAACAATTTGAGTTACATCATTGCACGACGACCACCCAAGACCTGTAAGATGGATCCCAAGAAGCATGCCATATTCGAGAAAACTGGCCAGCAATGTTCACATTGATGACGTCTAAACGTGTATGGCGTCAGTGCAAGATGTCCATCCCGGCTACCAATGTTGACATCGACGTTGTTATCTCCAGTGGAGCAGACAACAATGACAAAGGGAAGTAACTGAGTGGAGAAGAGTTCTCACCAAAGAGTCACGTTTCCTTCTTCCCCGAGCAGCAGAGGGCGGTGGGGTAGCCTAATGGTTAAAGCGTTGCCACGTCACGCCGAAGACCCGGGTTCGAATCCCCAAATGGGCACAATGTGTCAAGCCCATTTCTGGTGTCCCCTGCCGGGATGTTGCTGGAATATTGCTAAAAGCGGCGTAAAACCAAACTCAGTCAGTCTTCCCCGAGCAGACAGCAGAACTAGTGTCTGCAGACGCAGGAGTGTTCGTTTCATCAGTCAATGTGTTGTGGAAAGTGTTCTTTATATCAGGCCATAACTTCTGAGAAGTGTTCGTTGGCGTGATGAGGATAATGTGATGTGCACACAGAGTGTCATCAACTTGATGAGTGAATTTGTCAAGATTAACAGGGGGTAAACATCTGACATTATTCATGCTCTTCACACGTCCAGGTTCGGATCGACCACGCCCAGTGATCGCCGAGTTCAAGGACGACACAACAGAGGCACTGAAGGCATGAACGTCATTTAAGAATGCAGGATGTGGAATCAGCAAGAGAAAGACAGCAGCTCAAGGCTTCGGGTCTCAGGGGATATTTCAAGTATGGCAAATTAGTTACCGAGCCAGATACACGACATACAACCTGGAATCAACCCGATGACTCAACTGAACACTAAAAGCATGACGCCATACCGCAGCCATAGGGGCGTGGCCAAGGCTCGGGTAATATTAACCAGGAAACTTATAACAGCGAAAATGAAAACGCTAATTACTTTAAGTTTTGTAATGGCAACAGCACTACATCTGCCAGTGAAGGCGTACGTTTGTGCTTTCTACCATGGATTCCTTGTAAAAGAGGGTGCCTCCTTGATACAATTGTGACAAAAGACGAGGTAAAGAGAAACATGATAACGATGATTTCAGTTCAGGAAACGATGCTCCGAGTGCAAAGCTTCAGCTGATCGCTTCAAAGTGGATCCAGCAGAAGAAAGGGCTGTCAAAGCAGAAAGAGGTTAACGCTCACTGCTAATCTGAGAGGTTAACGTCTTGCTGCTGGTGGCTTGTTTTACAGTTTACTTGATATGAATGCCTAGTGTCAAGAAAGTTTTGAAGAATACAGGATGGTAGTTACCACAAATATTTAGGTGGGATTACACAAGTGCTACATCCATGAAAGGAATAATTTCAATGAATGAAACAAAAGAGAACATGCTCATTAAAATCTGGAAAAAGAATTGTATGTAGCTGGTGAGGTTTATTACAATAGTAACGAAAACCCAACAAGGATAATGCTATATATTTACACCCCTTCTTTCTATTTCCAACCTTAAAGAGATACACGAACATACCCACCTCACACGAACAGAAACTATCGCCACCCAGACTGTCGTTACACTGGTTACCCAGCAAGTTCCTAATGGATGTGCTTTTGTCGCTCTTATTTCAATTTCAGAAAACGTTGAAATGTACAGTATGAGCTTGGTAGGAATCAACTTTGCATCGCATGGGGGGCAAAACATAACAGGTGACGATTGCTTGAAAAATATAAACAACGGATGGCTTCACGGGTACCAATGGACGAAAATATGACGTTTTAAAAACAAATCCAGGACGAATGAATGAGTACATAAAGATAGAAAGAAGTTTCGGTAACCATTCCTAAATGGCATTAAAGACACATAAAAGACGTCTTTGCTGTCAGCCAAAGTGTGATGAGCAGTTCATGAAAACTGGATCGTTACATGTTGCAGACATCTTTGGTGATGACCTGGGCGTGACGTGTGGATCAGCTATCATTTAACATGCTGGTGGTCGACAGTGTTCCACCACACTGCGAGGAAGAAGTTTGCATTTGCAGGCAGAGGTCATGACACACTCAGTGCCACAACAACGGAATGCACGTATGCCTCCTTGACAATTCAACAGATGCATCGGTCGAGTCAACATAAAGTCACGTTTCAGACATCTTAGGGGTCAGCCTGAAAATGATGAGCTGGACATGGCGTGAGGGTGAGACATCATGTGACAAACTGGTCGTCGACAGGGTTCCACCAGATAACGTCATGACTACAACCACACTCAATGCCACGAAATAAAGGGACCACTCCGTGCTGAGTAAAGTGTTTGTCATACACTAAACATTGATGACATGTATAACATGGTCATTTAGGAATGAAATTGTGTGGAATGAAGAAAATATATTTACCTGCATTCACGGTCACCACAAAGCACACCAGGGCAGACAGAATCTCAAGTTGCATGGTTGTTGATTCAGCAGCACAGAACGTCGCGTCTGCTGAGGGTTCGAAAACCCGGCTTTTATGTCTTGCAGCAGGAATTGCTAGATCCGGCGTAAATACAGCTGTTACACAAATTTTCAGGAATTGTACATGAAAAAGGTGTTAGCAATGAAACATACCTCATCAATTATTTTGCTGGACAAAAGACTTGTTCGTGATTGGTAACTTCTGGCGTTCTCACGTTGGTGGGTGTGAGTAATAATCTTAACTGGACCATGACAATGCAGGTGTAGAAAAATAAGCATGCATGTATAAGTGAGATTGATGTATTAATGTTTCTGTCATGGTAAATCAAGCAATCTGTCAACACATCTGCCTCCCACCGATCTGTGTGGAACTGATAGCATCCAAACGATTCTTACTCATGTCAACTCGCGCGGATGAAACCCCTTTAACAAGGTGGAATTTTACTAAGGCCAATAGGCCATTTTTCTAAACCCTATGCTATGAAAACCGTCAGCCTGACAATTTCAGGAATGTTCCTGATCCCATCGAACTATTTCAGTCGTCTTAAATGCCATGGGGGACAATACCATTTCTAAATCCTCTGCAAACCCACACATACGCAAACCATGGTTTGATACAGACTACAAAAGCAAGCAATGTCACGTAAGCCCTACTCGAACGTCTACTTCTGGATAAGCAAACATGATCAGATTCCGAATATATCTGAAATTGGAGTACAAAAGCATAACAATAACTAAATTGAGATTTTATATTCACAGAACATGTCGTATTATCTGAACATATGTTCCATGTTTGGTTGGTTGGTTGGTTGGTTGGTTTGTTGTTTAATACCGTACCAAGAAATATTCCAAATACATGGCGGCGGTCTTTAAATAATCAAGTCTGGACCCAACAATCCAGTGATCATCAGCATGAAAATCGATCTACGCAATTGGGATACAATGAGATGTGTCAATCAAGTCAGTGAGCCGGCAGTCGACTGGCGTAGTAGAAAGGTGATGCCAGTATTCCCTGTAATTATAGAGGAATAAGTCTCATTAGTTGTTTTGGAAAGTTGTTGACCGGGATTTTTATTCAGAGGCTTCTTTACTGGGCAGAGGAACACAAAACTGTTTCGAATGCTCAGGTTGGTTTTCGTCCTAATCTTGGTACAGTTGATGCTATATTTTCGCTCCATTCATTGATTCGTCGTACTGTGAATGGTATTAAACGGTTATAATGCTCATTTGTGGATTTCAAACGTGCTTTTGGTTAAATAGATAGGTGTAAATTATGGTATAAGTTAGCAAAAGTGTTAGAGGGAAGCAATTGTCAGTTATTCATTTGTTGTATCTTAATGTAAGGTCATGTGTGAGGATCGATGGTTATGATAGTCAGTATTTCAGATATAGTTTTGGCCTAATGCAGGGAGATGTATTGTCGCCAATTTTGTTTTCTTTTTATGTAAGTAAGAATCTGTCCTAAAAGAAAAATGTATACGTTACGAGTTTAAATCTTTCAGTATATTTCTGCTTTTGTACGCTGATGATGTTGTCATATTTTCTGAATCTGTTGAAGGGTTGAACACACAGTTAAATTCGTTGTTGGCTTATTCAAATTTGTTGGAAACTTGAAGTGATCATTGCTAAAACAAATGTTTTTTAGAAGAGGTGGTAAAGTTAATTCTTCAGAATATTGATGTTATAATGGCAGTGTCCTAGAGGTTGTTGATGCGTTTACTTACTTAGGAATAGTCTTTAATTGTAATAACTGATTTTCAAAGGCTAGGATGCAGTTGTCTGATCAGGGTAGAAAGGCCCTTTGTTCCATTTACAACAATATCAGGTCGCTCTCTGTTAATCCGGAATCTCTGCTATTTGTCTTTGATTGTTATGTCGGCATAATATCATCTTATACGTCTGAGATGGGGCTACAATAAGGGATTAAATGTTGAAAGGTTACATTTGGATTTTTGAAAAGGTTGTTAGGGGTTAAGAAATCAACATGTAATTCGATGGTTTACGCCGAGTTGGGTCCTTATCCGCTTATATTTAAGAGACAATATAATATGATTAAATACTTGTGTAAGCTTCTTGTGTCTGACAATAGTGTCATATTATAATTATAGAATAATGTATATCAAACCATATTACTACAAATGTCCATCGGTATTTTAGCTTATTCACCTTCTTAGTATTAACAATGTTAGAGTATTATGTAACTTAGGCAAATATTTATATACGGCTAGTATATTAAGAAATGAGTAAATTAGAGTGCAGTAATTGCACATCCTCCTTTATATGTCCATTGTCGCCGTCTTTTAAAAAAACCCAAATCTGTACCAATATGCTATTTTGACATACCAATAAAGGTAATAAAGGAATTGAATCAAATCGATCCCGGTAGTCGCTTCTTGCGACACGTATGGGTTGCTGAAGACCCGGATGGTCACAGGTTTATATTTAATTACATTAGCAAGAGTGTTGTTGTTTTTGCCCCTCTTTTTTTCTACGATGTTACCTGTCACTCTCGAAATGAGAGACACAAGAGTCAAGATCTTTGGACAAGTTTTTGGGCATCTGTAAAACCAATGGTTTTGGTGAATTTTATACTGTGAATTTCGATCTGCTATTTAAGAGAATGATGGATGATCTCCTGCCCAGTTGGTCCTTTTTCCATAAAATGCCTGTCACAACCTTTTGGCATAGACATTTATTTTACAGTAACCAGCCTTTATTGATTTTAAAGCATTTACAGGAAAACATATAGACCTTAGATAGTAGGGTTTCGCAGGTTGGGAAATGTTTTTCTTATATTACACCATGGTCTTTCAATCCCAGATGTATTTTCATCATATCGGCAACAAGTCTATCCCTTGTCTCACTATGCCTTTTCTGGTGTTAAGCGTTCGGTGTGCAGATTGACATGGGAATGCTGATAAATAACGCAGCTGACATAATGGAATATTGCTGAGTGTGGAGTAAATAGAGAATCTCACCCGAGTGTCTTTTGATATCAAATATATCACCACGAGTTGAAAAAGTAAAAAAAAATATCCCAGGCTTGCCGAGGATATTTTTACTTTTATCAACGAGTGTTGAAATATATTGATATCAGACTGACAGAGTTGTGTTTTACGCCGCTTTTAGCAATATTCCAGCAACATCACGGCAGAGGACACCAGGAATGGGCTTCATACATTGTGCCCATGTGGGGATTCGAACCCGTTTGATATCAGAAGACACGAGGGTGAGATTTTATTTATCATCAAAAATCACTCTTCATTAGTTTTCAATGATAAATGTACATCTCTGAACACAGTACTGCCATTAGATTTGCAGTGCAGCGATGTCATAGCATTGTGACGTCATCAAGTTCATGACGCCATAGCATTGCCAGGGCATTGTGCAAAGTCTACTGCCAAAACGATATCACCTAGGATATCGTCTGATCTCACACAAGCGATATATCCTGTGGAACACAGTTTTGGATGATAAAACTAAACTCACTCACTCAGTCCATCTGCATTTTGTTTTAACAGCAAAATAACTAGAAAAACCAGCAAGTAACCATAAAACAATATTTCAGCATGAAAACAGCTAATGGATCAACGTTTCAACTACCAGGTATAAACAAATAATTCTAACAATAACAATAACAAGAGCCATTGTGTCTGACGCCATTACTACCGCCTTTCAGAAAATGTGTCTCTTGGTTTCACATCATATGTGCATGCAAATAAGGGATAGTCACACTGTCCATCAAACTGTAAACAACAACAGATAGAGATACTGTCCCTCAAAATACAAACAATAACGGATCGCCATACTGCCCCTCAAACTGCAAACAATAACAGATCGCCGAACTTCCGTTCGAATGGCAGACAATAAATAATGGATAACTACACTGTCCCTCAAACATTAAACAATAGTGGATAGTCATACTGCCCTCAAACTGCTAACAATAACGGATAGTCAGTCCATTCATGGTATTGCAGGGGCGGTGGGGCAATACTGCCGCTCAAACTGCTAACAATAGTGGATAGCCATACTGCCCCTTAAACTGCTAACCTGGATAAACTGCTCAAAACAATAGTGGATAGTCATACTGCCGCTCAAACTACTAACAATAGTGGATAGTCATACTGCCCCTCAAACTGCAAACAATAACGGATGGCCATACAATGCCCCTCAAACTGCAAACAATAATGGATAGCCATACTTCAATGGATCCCTCAAACTGCAAACGATAACGGATAGTCATGCCCTGCAAACATAATGGATACTGCAAACAATAACCAATGGATAGCCATACTGCCCCTCAAACTGCACTCAAAGCAAAACGGATGGCCATACTGCCCCTCAAACTGCAAACAATAATGGATAGCCATACTGCCCCTTAAACTGATAACAATAATGATAGCCATACTGCTGCCTCCAAACAATAATGGATAGCCATACTGCACCAATAATGGATAAACTGCAAACAATAACGGATGGCCATACTGCCACTCAAACTGCAAACAATAATGGATAGCCATACTGCCCCTCAAACTGCAAACAATAATGGATAGCCATACTGCCCCTCAAACTCAAACTGCAAACAATAATGGATAGCCATACTTCCCCTCAAACCCCTCAAACTGCAAACAATAATGGATAGCCATACTGCCACTCAGACTGCTAACAATAATGGATAGCCATACTGCCCCTCAAACTGCAAACTGGATAACAATAATGGATAGCCATACTGCCCCTCAAACTGCTAACAATAATGGATAGCCATACTGCCCCTCAAACTGCAAACAATAATGGATAGCCATACTGCCCCTCAAACTGCTAACAATAATGGATAGCCATACTGCCCCTCAAACTGCTAACAATAATGGATAGCCATACTGCCCCTCAAACTGCTAACAATAATGGATAGCCATACTGCCCCTCAAACTGCAAACATAATAATGGATAGCCATACTGCCCCAAACTGCAAACAATAATGGATAGCCATACTGCCCCTCAAACTGCAAACAATAATGGGCCATAGCCTTTATACTAACCCCTCAAACTGCTAAAACAATAATGGATAGCCATACTGCCCCTCAAACTGCAAACAATAATGGATAGCCATACCGCCCCTCTAACTGCAAACAATAATGGATAGTCATACTGCCCCTTAAATTGCTAACAATAATGGATAGCCATACTGCCCTCAAACTAAAAACAATAATGGATAGCCATGCTGCCTTTCCAACGGCACAAAATAATGTATTGCCACACTACAAACTGCAGCAATAATGGATCTCCAACCTGACCGCCAAACTGCAAGGAATCAAAAACCTAACAACTTTCGATGTTTACGCATTCAGCTTCCTACAGTCACATGACAACCCCAACTCTCCCAACACTCGCGTCACAAGAACAGTAAACTAATTAAGGCCTTCCCGGATTTCACATTCCCTGAACACATTATGTGTGAAGCGTAGTTGTGTTTCAGTAATCGCTACACGTCCAGAGTCGACATATGTTGGTGGATGGTTGTAAAATGAGACTGTTTAGAACCGATTGAAACGGATGTTATATTGTGCGAAAACGAAGAGTGAGGGAGTGAGTTAATATTTCTCGACACATCCATAATATTTCAGCCTTATCGTGACGAGAACAATTAATTATCAGTAAAGATCAATAATATTAGAAGTAATAAAACTGTTTACGATGAGCAGTAAAACTACTCGTGTATCACAGATAGAGATATAAAACTCGCATGTAACTAAACACGGGCTATAAATCACCAGCAACTGTGAAAACGAAGAAACAGCTTTGGCCAGTGTCATGCTGTCGCACCATTACCACGAAAACTAATACTCTGTAATTGGTTGTAACACTTACACAAACCTGCCGATCAATACACCACTCACGCGATATAATTCCACATACAAAATAACGAAAATGATGTTTAACTTTCAGCTTTGACTATACGAACAAGCATCAATAAACTGTTAGGGCAGCGGAAACTTTCAGTTGAATTAAATTTGAAATTCTATTCAAGTTGATGGGTATTAAATGATGAAGAATCACATCGAATAGAATATAATATCGAATAGAAAACACACACTCACTCAGTAATCTTTCCACATGCAGCTTGCCATATGTTACCCCTCCCAACGTTTAGAACTGTACTTAAAAGCTAGTTTGAATGTTAATTGATGAGTATTCACTAAAAAGGAAAAGTATTCAGTACCTAAAACTCTCAGATATTCTGCAGAACAATAATACTTTCTCATACATGCGTTCAAAGAAGACATATGAAAAAGTGACCTTGTAATACAAACTTAAAATATCATTAATTTAGTTATATTTAACAAGTGTTTTGGTTAAGAATGTGTAGAATCTGCTTATAGAGTAAAACGTTAATTTCGTGGTTGGTAAATGTTTCTGCAACATATTTCATTGGTTTCTGTCTCAACCACATAATCGAGCTTGCTCCTTTAACGAACATTTCTAAGCGTTGTTACAGCTCTTGCTGAGACATTGTATGAGAGTTACCTGATTTATTTCCTATGAAAAACTTAAGATTTGTATTACACTTGTGGGGGACATTTCCAAGTTTGGTGAATCAGTGACAGAAATTATGTCTGGTGCATGTTCTTATTTTGAGTTGTACCATGTGTACCTGTGTATTTTCAAATGGATAATTTCGGTACCTGTGCTTGTATTTATGATGGCTGCCACCATTACTAGAGAAGATGCTCACTTTGTATCCCCACTATTTCAAAGTCAACAATAAACGCACGATTACGACGATCCACATTGTCTGATGTTAAATATCTCAAGTCGTTGAAGCCCTTTCATTAGCATCAAATCAGGGAATGATTATAGATAGGTGCCAAAGTTTCGGCAGAATATGTTCACATTGTATTACCGCAATTTGAAAGTCAATCAAAAACACATACTTATGAAAGCTTTTTGACAAGGATCTGTAATGACCAGTCAATATTGATACCTCTTTTTATAGATGACATCAGTGAATCCTGGTTCTTCCACATTAAATGTGTGAGATCGGGAATTAAAACTAATGATGAGATTATATACTATGAGAAAATGGTTTTCCCTGTATGATACAGTGGGAACGGTTGGTTGGTTGTTTCACACCGCTATATGGTGGCGGTCTGTTAAAAAATGAGTCTGGACCAGACAATCCAGTGATCAACTGCATGGGCATCGATCAACGCAATTTGGATAGGATGACATGTGTCAGCCAAGTCTGTGAGTCTGACCACCCTATCCGATTAGTTGCCTCTTCTGACAAGCATGGGTTACTGAAGATCAATTTTAACGGGGATTTTCCGCCCCCTTCAAGGGTACAGTGAGAACGAGTGAGTGAGTGAGTGAATTTAGTTTTACGCCGCTTTTAGCAATATTCCAGCGCGGGACACCAGAAATAGGCTTCGAACATTGGATCTTTAATGTTAAGAGCGAACGCTTTGACCACTAGGCTACCCCACCACCCCACAGGTGGTGGGGTCACAATATATACTGAGTCAAAAAAGAAACTTCACAAAATGTAATTTGAAAAATAATGAACAATCTTTCTCTGATGATACATCTATGTATCCGAAATGGGATCCCTATCTTTCGACTCTGGAAAAACGTTAGCAAAACCCACTCAAACCCATCTATTCGTCGTGCAAATGACGTTAGTGCCAAATCAGGTTTTGCACGTGCAGTCGATCACGTGATCTTCGCATCGAAGTTTTCTTCATATGCACGTGTTTGCATTGGCCTCAAGAATTGAAAAAACACTTTTAAACCACAGTTCTTACGGTACTGGAAATGTCACGATTGTCAAATGTGCAACGTGAACGTGCCGTTGGCATGTTGCAAGCGGGAAGATCAGTTATTGACGTTGCAAGAGCAATGGGATGCAGCCGTCATAATGTGTATGACTTGCGAGGTCGTCTACAACAAACTGGCACCACTTCTGATCGCCCAAGGTCGGGTCGTCCACGTGTGACGTCACGAGCAGAGGACCGTCAAATCGTCCTACGTCACCTACATGACAGATTTCTGCCGGCTACACGAACCAGGGCTGAAATGTCAGATGTCGACTGTCCTCACAGACCATTCGAAATCGTGGGCCAATATTGACGCCGTTTCATCAACGTCAACGTCTGCTGTGGGCCCAACGTCACCTCCAATGGACCCAGAGATACTGGAATCGAGTCGTCTTTAGCGATGAATCCAGGTTTACCCTCAGATTCGCGGACGGCAGGCATAGAGTCTGGAGACGACGTCGTGAACGGTATGCCCAATGTTGTGTACAGGAAGTCGACAGATTTGGGGGCGGAAGTTGCATGGTGTGGGGTACTTTCTGTGGGAACAACCGTTCCCGACTTCTGGTCATCCGTGGAAACCTCACGGCTGCTGCTTACCGCGACCAGGTGCTCACCCCTGAACCCGTTCCTTTCATGGCGGCTCATGGCCCAGGTCTGCAGTTCCAGCATGATAATGCTCGGCCGCATACCGCGATGCTGACACGAAATTTCCTTCAAAACGCCGGAATCAACGTCGTGGACTGGTCATCGAGGTCCCCTGACCTTAATCTAATAGAGGACGTTTGGGATGCAAGAGCAATGGCGCAGAATCCCCAACCACATGTTCACAAGCATCAGGCAGTCGATGAGGAGACGGTGTTTGGCAGTGGTGAATGCGCGGGGCGGCCATACACGATATTAAACTGAGAAATTTCGCATTTTTACTCTTGTGACTTGACATTCTGTATACCCATGTTTTGGAACGGCGGTGTAGCCTAATGGAACTGATTATGGCACTGTCAGTGTATCGAGTACATCACACAGATCTCAGCAATGAAATAATAACAATGTAACCATCTTACCATCTCTTGTTCTTTTATTTTTGCTCTGAAGAAAGAATGTGAAGTTTCTTTTTTGACTCAGTATGGTACACATAGGTTCTTCATCATGACAAGTACATATTGAGCGTGTTTACCACCATTCCCTGGAAATAATAACTGTTTCCCCGACTAATCCTCTCATTTCCTCGTTAAACTGTAATCAAACTATCACATCATAAAACTGTAAATTTGGTATTGAAGTTCTTCATGTGTATCTGACAGAAGGTCAGAAGGTATGATGCATGTGAAACGGGATATTTTTACACTGAGGTGCGAACATGTGTTGGTTCATGTTTAGAAGCTTGTCAGGAACTCGACTGGAAAGCAGTTCCAGCTGTGGGGATCACTGAAGAGACATGTTTTGGTTTGTACATTTTTCAAACATTTAAAAAAATCTGTTTTCTGCATGATGTGATATTATTAGATTTGAGACAGGTCACTCTGAGTGTTTTAATTGCCTTCTTTGTTGATGTATGGTGTCGATCATTAAGTTGATGGCAAGACCGTGGTGTGCAGTGTCTCTCACTCAATCGGGGCGGTGGGGTAGCGGCGTAAAAGCGGCGTAAAACTAAACTCATTCCCTGCCACTAAATACTATGGGTGGAGGGCACTATTGGAGCACTGTAAATAAGAGGGATTTTCATAACCATGAAAGAAACCTAAGGCAACTTCAAGGTAACAGCGTGTCACAAAAACCTGTCTCCGGACCAGTAGGATGCTGGGTTAACCTGACATAAGGGCATTCCACCGGTAGGGATTAGTAAGTGAGTGAGTGAGTGGGGATATTTTAGGAATATTCCCTCAACATCACTACGGGGGAAACCAGAACTGGGCTTTACAAATTGTACTCAAGTTGGGAATCGAACCCGGATCTTCGGGCGTGACGAGCGAACGCTGTAACTACTCGGTTACCCTACGCCTCCGTAGGGATTAACATCTATACTGCGTAAAGTGGATGGCGAGATATTGGTACAAGGTGTGTTTGGTGTAAGGTAACGTGGTAACATGGTAACACAGTGACAGGGAAACGGTACTTACATGTATGCTATGTAAGGACTGACAAAATCAAACAAAACAAATACAAACGTATTTCAGATATTGATAAATGACTATCCCTTTTTAGAATATTCGAGTATTATTCCCTCAGGTACTTGCGAGTCGCTATGTTTGCTGTGGCCACTCTCGTCGCACTGCTTCTGCATGGAGCAAGCGGAACAACAGAGGTGAGGGCTGTACATTCTACTTTAGTTACCCGTGAATCAACTAACCTTATTTCTACATGAGCTGTGTCATTCAGGGCGCTGTTTATGCTACTTTAGTTACCCGTGAATCAACTTACCTTATTTCTACATGAGCTGTGTCATTCAGGGTGCTGCACATTCTACTTTAGTTACCCGTGAATCAACTAACCTTATTTCTACATGAGCTGTGTCATTCAGGGTGCTGTACATTCTACTTTAGTTACCCGTGAATCAACTAACCTTATTTCTAAACGTACCCACTGTCATTGGATCCAGAACAATATCTTCTCGACCACCAAATAACAGCTCTATTTTCACAGCAGAAGCTCACGCCATATTAACAGCTCTTAAATATATTAATAAAAACCGTAAATATAAACAATACATAATATTTTCCGATTCTCCTTCGTGTCTTCAGGCTATTAAAAATCTTTCTTGTAAACATCCACTTTTATTAGAAATTATTGAATTATAAATGAGCTTGCTACTGGCCAATGCGACATCGTCTTTTATTGGTTACCCAGCCACGTTGGCATTTCTGGGAACACAATGGCCGATCTTGCTGCTAAGGCAGCACTCAACACATCTGTGACACCACCTCTGATCCCATAGTAGGTAGGTATCAATAAATTCCATGCACTAAAACCAACTATCGGTTACACCTACTTGGGTTGTCAGTCCAGATTTGAAGAGGTTATCATACGACGCTGTCGTATTGGTCATACAAGATATACTCACGAATACCTATTAAAAGGTGAGGATCCTGCGTTTTGTATCCCTTGTGATGAAAGAATCACGGTCAAGCATGTCCTGCTTGACTGTGTTGAATATTCCATCACAAGGGATATCTATTTCAAATCCCAAACTATGAAGGATCTTTTTAGTACTATAAGTTCTCATTTAATTATTGCATTTTAAAAAAAATTAGACTTGTTAACTGGTTTGTAAATAGATACATATTTTATTAATGGTAGTTTAAATTAGTAACTGAGATTGTTTGTGGCTGTACCCTCAAAGGGGGTTGAAGTAGCGTAAAATTATTGTCCTGCTGAGAGGGTACGTAAGCCCTGAAACATTCAAAGGAAATTTAAATTTACCAGCTGTTTTAAATGTAGTATTCTTGTCATTTTAATTTTGGCTAAATTTGACTTCAATCGCCAGCGGTTGAAGGAATGATATAAATCCAACTAGGGTCCATGCAGGTAGCAAAGTAATGTAAGTCCCCATGGTCCCTAGTTTGGTGATCTAACTTCGGTTGTTGGCGATCTGTAGCCAGTTTTTATATTGTATTGTCCAAATAATGCTATCAGTTTTAATTTTCCAGAATAGTTTTAGTTGTAATTGTGATATTCTAGTCGTTTTACTGTCCTTCGTCAACAGGTTTTTATAATATACATCCATTCCATTTCAATGTCACATATGTTCTCGTCGCGACATGGCTGAAATATTGCCGATGTGACGTTAAATAATAACTCACTCACTCACTCTAAATGTACCACGACATTCAAAGCACTATACATTATACTTCAGTTTTGCGTGAATCAACTAACCTTATTTCTAAATGATACTGCGCGTTATTGTCCAGTGTGATCACTTGACTGTAGGTAATAATATAGTGTGCTCACTATACTGTACGTTATATTCTATTCTAATTCAACTTAGTATGTAACACGAGTTCTGATTGGTCAATGCTATGAATTTCTGACCGTATAATCAAAACCTTTGAATGTATATATACACTAATGGGGTAACGCTGTTTACGCGTCGCCGTTATAACTAAATTTGCGGCTATATAACCATCGGTATACGTCCCCAATTCGTGAAACACAGTACAGTTAAGTGTGTTCAGAATGCTATGGGTTATTGTCCAATGTGCTCAGTACGCTGTAGGTAGTAATAGAGGGTGCTCATGATTCTGTACGTTATTGTCAAGGGTGCTCAGGATACTGTACGATATTGTCCAATGTGCTCACGATACTGTGCTTTAGAGTCCAGTGTCCTCACGATACAGTACGTTATTGTCCAGTGTGTTCACGATACAGTACGTTATTGTCCAGTGTGCTCATGATACAGTACGTTATTGTCCAGTGTGCTCACGATACAGTACGTTATTGTCCAGTGTGCTCACGATACAGTACGTTATTGTCCAGTGTACTCATGATACAGTACGTTATTGTCCAGTGTGCTCATGATACAGTACGTTTTTGTCCAGTGTGCTCATGATACAGTACGTTATTGTCCAGTATGTTCAAGATATTGTACGTTATTGTCCAGTGTGCTCAATATGTTGTACGTTATTGTCCAGTGTGCTCAAGATACAGTACGTTATTGTCCAATGTGTTCTCGATACTGTACGTTATTGTCCAGTGTGCTCAAGATGTTGTACCTTATTGTCCAGTGTGCTCAAGATACTGTACGTTATTGTCCAATGTGCTCACGATACAGTGCTTTATTGTCCAGTGTGCTCACGATTCTGTACGTTATTGTCCAATGTGCTCGCGATACAGTGCTTTGTTGTCCAGTGTGCTCACGATACTGTACGTTATTGTCCAATGTGATCAAGATACAGCACGTTATTGTCAAGTGTGCTCACGATTCTGTACGTAAATTTCCAGTGTGCTCAAGATACTGTACGTTATTGTCCAGTGTGCTCACGATACAGTGCTTTATTGTCCAGTGTGCTCACGATACTGTACGTTATTTTCCACGTGATCATCACAGTTTATGAAATGAATTGTAGCCATGCCAAGCTTTTAGACGTGTTTGGCATGTGAGGAAAAATGGTATTCGTTATATCATGGTATGTTCAAGTCAAGGTTATATCTTAGATCAAGACTTTGTACGTCTAATCACGGTATACTGAGGACAATCTCTCTATATTATAGTTTGCTCACAGTGCCGTGACACCCGGGAATGGAGAGGTCATCCCTATGGACATCGAGCTGCACGACAATACCATGACTTTACAAAGGTACACGTGCATCTGAAATATATGCTCCGTATAAAGGTCAGGCTGCCTTTGTGTGGTTTAAACGGTAGTCAACTACCATGACTTTACAAACAGTCAACTACCATGACTTTACAAATACTCAACTACCATAATTGTGAACTATCATGATTTTACACATAGTCAACTACCATGATTTTACAAATAGTCAACTTCCATGATTTTACAATAGAAATAGTCAACTGCCATGACTTTACAAATAGTCAACTTCCATGATTTTACAATAGAAATAGTCAACTACCATGACTTTACAAACAGTCAACTGCCATGACTTTACAAATAGTGAAGTTCCATGACTTTACAAAGGTACATATGCATCTGAAATACATGTTCCATGATCTCCAGCTAGTGACCTAGCCTAGGACTTCAGCTGCCTTAACGTGTTTTGAATTGTTGTATATCATCAACTACCATGACTTTACAAAGGTATATATGCATCTGAAATAAGTGCTCGATGGTAGCTAGCGACGTGGCCAAGTTCATGCTGTAGCGTGTTGCAAACAGAAATCGCTTACATTAATATTATGTGTAAAAATAAAATTGTTTTTGTCACTGCATGGCTGAAACAACGCTTACTTAAAATTATAACTCTCTCACCGAAACATACATACAGATGTGTGATGACATATTTGATAGCTGCTACCCATCTACTTGAGGTCGTTCAGGGGGACGCAAGGAATTGAATAACATCTTGGTTAGCAAGATAAAGTATCGGTGATGATTGTTGCAACAAACTAAAAATAAGTTATGGAAACAAATTTGAAATTCAGAGACAGTAATAAATATCTGACATATGCCAGTTAAACGTCTATTTCATGTATATTTTGCAGGGCTTAGTGGCTATGAAGATCACCGAAAAAGACACTTGTTTTGTGAAGCCATCTGACGAGACATACGACGACATTAAGAAGGTCGTAGACGACATCAAAAAGGTATGTCACATTAACAGCTGATGCATATTGCAACTGAGGCTTTTCACTATTTCATTCCATTTTCTATAACACTTTTTCTTTCTTTCTTGGAATTGATCTTCAGTAATCCATGCTTGTCGTAAGCGGCGACTAACGGGATCGGGTGGTCAGGCTCGCTGACTTGGCTGACACATGTCATCGTATCCCAGTTGCGTGGATCGATGATGTTGATCACAGGATTGTCTCATCCAGACTCGATTTTTCACAGACCGCCGCCATGTAACTGGAATATTGCTGAGTGTGGAGTAAAACTAATCTCACTCACTCACTGAGTGTGGAGTTAAACAAACCACCAACCAACTAACAAATACAACCTATCATTCTGTTCATCCTGTGTTCACCATGCAGGGAGAGAAAGCACCAAAGGTCCAAGCTACTGAAGAGTGGGTCGTTCCCAAAACGCCATTACCTGCAGAAGAGATCGAACAGAAAGTGGGAAAGAGGATAGCAAAGTTCTGTAGCGGCTGCAAAGTGCAATTCCTCCAAGACGGCAAAGTGATCAGGGCTGCTGCAGGTAAGCGGTTGTCATCGTTGCGCACCACACAAAACTATGAGCTATTGGGAGGTCCTTTCTCGACCTTTTGAAACGAGCCAAATATGTCAAGAGTACGAGATTCAATATGTATTGGATGCGTAGTCATGGTTGATCATATGCAATACTCAGCTGGACGTCAATAATCCTTGTGTCATCTGATATAAAGGTTATTTTAATCTTATTTGGCTTACACGATGCAAATGCTGAAGTCAAGTAAACAATTGCTATTTCAAATGTCCCGAGAGTAACCGCGAAAAGAGGTGGTAAGTTTTCAACTTCATCTGTAAGTAATATCGAAAAGAATACCAAGTTCACATAAAGTTATAATGTCAAGACAATGATCTTGAAATGTCAAGATAAGACTTTTAAATTTGAAGATCATCATCTTGAAATTTCAAAATAATTTTTTTAATGTCCTCAAAACCCAACCAGAGTGGCCCAAAACGGTTTCCGTAAAGTACACGTGTGTCACATATATTTTATCACAGCTGTGTTGATGTAGAGATACAGCGACATTTTTATCAGGTTTAATCACTAATACAAAAACCAGTTATTCGCTTCCACAACTGTGAGGAGCCGGTCTAAAGGATTTATTGAATTCTGCCTGTTCTGCTGTTCCACTGCTTGGAAAATAAAAACACAGCCCGACCATGCAATAAATGTGGCGTCAACTGACTCTGGATCTGTGTTTTATATTGCCTTTTATATTTCATTTTTTTAAAATCCATGTCAAATATGCTGTTTAACGCCGCACTCAGCAATATTCCAGCTATACGGCGACGGTCAGTAAATAATCGCGACTGGACCGGACAATCCAGTGATCAACAGCATGGACATCGTTCTACACAATTGGGATACGATGACATGCATCAACTAGGTCAGCGATCTTGACAATCTGATCCCTGTTTGTTAAAGATCAATTCTTACCCGGATCTTCACGGGTTCGTCAATACCAATTCAATTAAAGTTTTCATGATGAATTCATGTAAAGTATGTTGTTTCGTACTCAGCTAATGCTGAAACTGTAGTGGGGTCGGTGCAAAACCAGCAACCATCGGACAGAGACTCAGACATACTGACAACATGGGAATATATACTATCCGAAAAAAGAAACGCATAGGCGTTTTGTATTCTTAAATATCTATTTATTGCCTATTGTGTTCAAACAATCGTCAAAATATGTAACAATAGTGTTGATAACATGATTTTACATCAACAAAAATCGACTTTCCCTGAAAATGTTGATCAAACGCAACAGGAATCTCTTTCCAGTTGCAATTGTGCAGCAAAGAGTTGAGTTGAGTTGAGCTTTACGTCACATCGGCATTTTTCCAGCCATATAGTGACGAGAACAAGTTTGCATTAGTAAATACACTGTCTGCCTATAAAAATCCAGATTACTTTCGGAAATCGTCATTCGTTTTGAAGGAGTTTCAAGGTCAAATCACTAAGCCACGTCTTGACGCTGCGACACAGAACATCACCATTGGAAGATTACACGCTGGAGAATACCAATTGTCTATTGCCAGGCGTTTGAATGTCAGTCTGAGCACGATATCATTGCTTACAACTCTTTACAACCAAACAGGTATAACAAATGACCCTCCCCGTACAGGCAGACCTCGAGTCACCACTGTAGTCCAAGATCGGTACATCCGGGTACTATATCTACTTGATCGTACTGCCATGGGTGACAGCACAGCAGCTAGGGTGCCTGGACTTCGGAGGATATCCGATCAAGCTGTACGGAACGGGTTGAGAGAGATTGGACTGAGAGCCAGGAGACCCGACGTCGGGCCCATGCTACGTCGTCACCATGGCGCCCAGTGTCTCCGTTATGTAAAATTATCCACTTGGTTGTATAGACATTTCCTTCTTCTAAGCTGATACAAAAAATCATTTCCTGAAGTCTATTTGTGGACGGGTTATACATTTTTGAAAATACAACATTTTCGCAACAAATTTCTGGGTTATGCGTTTCTTTTTTTTAATAGTATATATTTATGCGGTCGAACCCTGTTGTCCGAACACAAGGAGACTAGATAATGTTTAGATACATCGTCGACAGATCCAGCTATGCCTTATGATGGTCCCGATCAGCCAACCAGATGTTTACACGGTCATCAATGCTTCAGTGATTAAGGCTTTTGCTAATAGTATGACATGTCGCTGAATCAAGGCATCCGTTACACAGATACAACCAACACTCTTTGGTTTTTCACACACTCCTCTGTTGTTAAGGTTGGGCGCCAGGGTAGCCAAGTGGTTAAAAGGTTCGTTCGTCTTGCTGAAGACCCGGGTTCGACTCCCCACATGGGTACAACGTGTGACCCCCGTCGTGATATTGATGGAATATTGCTAAAAACTAAACACGAGCTTGGCAATCAGTCATGTTGGCCATACCTCAGGACCTCAAAATCCCATGAGGTATTCAAATTTATATCAAGAAGTGCACAGCCTTTTTCTCACACTATCAGTATATATCAAACATAATATTTGAAACACCCCCCCCCAAAAAAACCCAGCTAATTTTATGAATCCGATAGTTACTTTAGATATTTTCCTGAAAATACTATATTCAATGCAAACGATTTGTTAACTCAATGTGAAAATTTATTTAATTGTAAGTAATTTAATGCGAAATTTGATTAATGTGAGGAAAATGCTATATTCGAAAATTGAACAATATTATTAATAATACGCCTATATTAAAGTGTATCTTATACACTCTGAACGAGCGTATTCCAAACTGCTGCTCGTATTACCAAGATGCATCACATAAGAAACATCCATTTCTGATATGCGTAATAAAGTCGAGGCATGAGCAAGCTACCGCAAATCTAGAGAAAATAGTGTCAGCTCCCGGGTCAGAGATAGATAGACTAGCGGCGTCCAGGAGATTTCTATGGTCTACCTAAACAGCAAAATGAATCGTTTGAGTCGTGTAAGGATTAATATTGTGTCAGTTTTGAATCGACATATGGAGTGGAGTAAAGGCGATATTTTATGGGCGCATCGCATAGGTACAAACTCCAAACCCGATAAACCACGCCCACTTATCGCCAAGTTTAATCACACTGATGAGAAGACCTCTGAACTCAAACATTGAGACACGTTGAGAAGTAGTGAGATAGGCGTGGCTAACGATCTCAGAGAGAGACACGTTAAGAAGTAGTGGGATAGGCGTGGCTAACGATCTCACAGAGAGACATGTTGAGAAGTAGTGGGATCGGCATAGCTAACGATCTCACAGAGAGACACTCTGAACAGCAAAAAGAGTCGTTTGAGTCCAACATGTGAACATTAAGGAGTGGAGTAAAGGCGATATTTTAAGGGCGCACCGTATAGGTACAAACTCCAGACCCTATAAACCACGCCACTTATAGCCAAGTTTAATCACACTGATGAGAAGACCTCCGAACTCAACATCGAGACACGTTGAGAAGTAGCGGGATAGGCGTAGCTAACGTTCTCAGAGAGAGATACGTTGAGTTGAGTTGAGTTGGGCTTTACGTCACATCGGCATTATTCCAGCCATATAGTGACGAGAACAAGTCTGCATTAATATACATTGTAAGTACAAAGTGGTTTCGTTTCAAAGACATACATTCATTACGTTGTCATTTTAGAACAGAGAATGTCATAGAACTAGATTGAAAAGCAGATACATTCGTTATTGACATTACACAGTTACATTTTATGATATAGATCGACTTCCCTCAGGTAGTTTAGTATCAGATGAGCGCTCACGCTGGAGAACAGATCTTTCAGATTGGTTGCGTGATAATGCGAGTCCCTTGCAGATGTAAAATCCACACAGTCAAGCAGAATATGCTTGACGGTGAGAGCCTCATCGCAGGAGAGACATATGGGGGGTCCATCCCCATCTGTTTTTAGCAGATAGTCATGTGTAAACCGACTATGGCCAATACGACATCGTCGTAAAATTACTTCATCACGTCCTGACTGGCAACCCAAGCAGGTATAACCGACTGTTGGCTTCAATTCATGGAGTTTGTTTCTTCCTACTTGGGTGTCCCACCTTTTTTGCATCAGGTCCCGAGTATAGCTTTTGATAGTGGGTTTGAAATCACTGTACGGGATTAGCAGTGGAGATAGGGGCTTTTCAAGAGCTGCTTTTGCTGCAGCATCGGCCTTAGTGTTACCTGCTATGCCGACGTGACCCGGCAACCAGCAGAGGATGATGTCATATTGGCTAGTAGAAAGGTCGATGTACAGTTCTAATATGTCCAGGATGATTGGGTGACTTGAAGTCACGTTTAGAAGTGCTTGAAGGCAGGATAATGAATCTGTAAATACGATGAAGTTTTTGGACTGATTTTGCTGTTGAATGTAGGTCAGAGCTGAGAAGATAGCTTTGGCTTCAGCGGTGAAACTGTTGTCGGGGATCCTAGAGGATCCAATGACTGTAGCGCTGGCAACTTGGCCATCGTCCTTGGATCCGTCTGTGAAGATGGATCTGTGAGTGTTATACTTCGAACGTAACTGGTTGTATTCCTGTTGGAACACCAAGGGATTTGTTTCAGACTTTTTGAGTTTGGTGAGGGTAAGATCGACCTGTGGTTTCACCATTTGCCATGGTGGTGAGGACAGAAGTCGGTAAGGCGCAATGATGTTGAGATCAATTTTAGCTGCAGATATGTGTGGTTTGATCCTTATTCCAAGTGGTGGAACCCGGCTTGGTAATTTAGGAAATAAGTTTTCATAGAGCGGGTTGAAAACACAGTTGTATGCTGGATTGAACTCATTTGAACGTAATTTAGTGATATACTGCAGTGAGAGTTTAATGCGGCGTTGTTCAAGGGAAGGTTCATTGGCCTCCGCATATAGTCTGTCTACCGGAGAGGTCCTAAAAGCTCCCAGGCAGAGCCTTAGTCCTTGGTGGTGGATAGAGTCTAATTTTTCTAAATTGCTTTTGCAGGCTCCACCGTAGACAATGGAGCCATAATCTAGTTTACTGCGGACTAATGATCTGTACAGGTGAAGGAGGGTGGTCTGATCCCCTCCCCACTCTGTATTTGAAACTACTTTTAGCAAGTCTAAAGCCTTCAGGCACTTTGTTTTCACATATTTGATGTGTGGTAAGAATGTCAGGTGGTGGTCGAATATGAGTCCAAGGAATTTGGCCTCTTCTACTACTTTGATGGGAGTACCATCTAAAGTTAGGTCTGGATCCTTGTGTGGTTTGTATTTACGACAAAAGTGAATACAATTCGTTTTGGATTTTGAAAACCTAAAACTATTTTCATTGGCCCATTTTTGGATTTTGTTAAGGCAGAGTTGTAGCTGCCTTTCTATTGCGTGCATGTTCTTACCACGACATGAAATATTGAAGTCATCGACGAAAAGGGACCCATCAACGCAACTGTTCAGAACGTTAGTGAGGCTGTTAATTTTGATGCTAAAAAGTGTGACAGACAGAATGCTGCCTTGGGGGACGCCCTGATCTTGGTGGAAGTAGTCAGACAGTGTGGAACCCACCCGAACTTGGAATTGTCTGTTATTTAGAAACCGAGATATGAATTGAGGTAGTCTACCCCTCAATCCAAACTCGTGTAAATCTTTTAGGATACCATGTTTCCATGTTGTATCATATGCTTTTTCTAAGTCGAAAAATAGCTAACGATCTCACAGAGAGATACGTTGAGAAGTAGTGGGATAGGCGTAGCTAACGATCTCACAGAAAGACACGTTGAGAAGTAGTGGGATAGGCGT